AAGGAGTATATATAAGTAAAAATGACCTTACTTGAAAAATCAGGCTAGTACAATTGGTATAAATAATTTTTTAAATTCACTCAATGGAAGCAAAAGGAAAGCATATATAATAGAAAGCATGTACCATCCATTTACAGCAGATTTGACTTTATTAGCAATGTAATGGAGTCAAAAATGCAAACAGTATTTGAGAACTGGACATGTTAAATATTCACTTTACAAGGACAGAAAAACACTGTTTATATAATTCTGATGAGACAAATGTTTGAATATTAAAAACTAGTATTTGCCAATGTACCTAAATATAGGAAAGTAAGATTTAATATAACTGAAATGAAATGGGCAATAAAAATGATTAAAGAGTTAGCCTGATGAACTTCTAAGAAAAAAATGAAATTAATTAATCTTGTTGTCTGCAAACCTAAGCAAAGGAAGCACAGAGAACCGTATGTAATAATTCTCTTCACTAAGGAATTTTACAGTAAAACTTATTTAAAGTAGAAGGCATTCCTTTGAATAATCCAGATTAAGATTATTTGGTAATTTTCATTAAAACAATAGGAACAATGATATTTCTGATGGAATGCTAAATAAACAGTTGTATACAATTATCTACTATGTGATCATTTTGTATATTCCAGGGGTCATGTGAGAGAAAAAAGTGATGAGAATCAGTTACAATAGGAATAACTGCTGAAGAGTCAAATAGCTGTTCAAAAGGCATCTTGACTATACCAAATTAGCAATGAGAGCAGATGGAGGTTCCCCCTAATTTGTTTTTGGATAAGGCTACAAAATCACTGCAGTTAGAGTTGTCCTTCCGACTAAAGACCAAAGGAAATACTAGCATGTTGCTTTTCTATTCCTTAATTCTTCAAAAAACTTGTATCCTTATTTTACTTAGTGATTGTCCCAAAAAATAATATTTTACTGGTGAAATATTTATTTACTTATTGGTGTGCTTTTGTTTCACTTTGTTTTAATCCTGGGAAATGGAGACATCAGATGGTTTCAAACAAGCCTGTACAATAGTTACATAAACAAGAATTTTGTCATTCACACACTCAAAGACACATACACCCAAACATACTGCTTATTATTCTTCACAGGGAGAATTAAATTTAGCAGCAATCAAAAAATGGGTTATTTAACCCAGCAATCCCATTACTGGAGATATACATATATACATATATACACACACACATATATATATGTATGTGATATATCTGTGTGTGTGTGTGTGTGTATATATATATATATATATATATATATCTCCAGTAATGGGGTTTCTGGGTTAAAGCAAAATTGTATATATATATATATATATTATGTGTGTATATATATTATATAATATATAATATAATATACATATATTATATAATAATATGTGTATATTGTGTTATATATTATATAATATTATATGTGTATATATATTATACATATATATGTGTATATATTATATAGAATTATATATGGAATTATATATATACACATATATATTATATATACATATATATGTGTATATATATACATATATGTGTGTATATTTATAATATACACACATATATATGTGTGTGTGTGTGTGTGTGTGTGTGTATATATATATATATATATATATATATATAAAATTCTACCAAAAAGACACATGCATTCATATGTTCATAGCTGCACTATTTATATTGGCCAAGACATGAAATCATCCCAGGTGATGATCAGTAGTAGATTGGATAAAGCAAATGTGGACATATATACCATGAAATATTGTGCAGCCTAAAAATAATGAAATAATGTCTTACAGCAACATATATAGAGCTGAAGGCCATAATCCTAAGAAGATTGACACAGGAATAGAAAATCAAATACTACATGTTCTCACTAATAAGTGGGAGCTAAGCACTGAGTACCCATGGGCATACATATGAGAACAACAGACCCTGAGGCCTGCTGGGGGGTGAGAGTGGTTGGGTTAAAACACTACCTATCAGTTACCATGCTCGCTACTAGGGTGACAGGATCTGTACCCCAAACCTCAACATCACGCAATATTCCCGTGTAACAAATCTGCACATGTATCCCCTGTACCTAAACCAATAGTTGAAATTTTAAAAAATGGGTTCTTATCTAAATGTTGAGCAATTGGGCTTTGGCATTTTATGTGTGGGTCAAAAGTTGGGTGACCGGTAAAGGCAACAGTTCAAATAAGTCATTAAATGGAATATTTCTGCCACATTTATTCTTCATCATCTTTTCTTAATACTAGCTGATTTGCTCACAAATTGTAGATAGATAGAGAAATGCACAGTAACTCAAGAGTGAAATGAAACTGAAAGTTTGGCCAGCTGTTGAACACCATGTACTTGTGTTATAAAGCAGTATTACTGTGTTTTAAAATATTTAGAAGGAAGCAAAGGAAACATTCCATTAAGAAAAACTAGTTTAGAGGGATCGAAAAAACTGCTGAGTTAGTTACCATATAACCTTTCATATTTTATATGTTTGGGGCTAAATTCAATGACTTATAAGGCTTTCATGATTTGTGCCCTTCACATCTTTATAGTGTCATCTCTAGCCACTCTTAACATACACACAAACATGCAGACACACATGCAGACACACACACTTGCAGACACACACACCATGATTTATCCAAACTAACAAAAACTTTATATTTTTCAAATATGTTAAGCACATGTTTTTTCTATTTAGAATGCATCTCTTTCCTTCACCTGTCTAGAAAATGATGATCCTTCAAGGTGCAGTTCAAATGCCACCTCTTATGCCAAGCATTCACTGGATGTTTCCTCACCCACTTTCCCTCTTCAGACCGAGTCAGTCACTATTCCTTTGTGTCCCTACAGTACTCATGTTCAACATGACACTGATAACAACAGCAACAACAGCTACCACTACTTCAATTAGAAGCATCATTTATTAAATAGCTAATATGTGAGGCACTGTGGCAGGTATTTTCTATACAGTCTTATCTTTACGATAATGCCTGAACATATGTACTGTTCTCCCCAGGAATAACTTGAGGCCCAGAAAAATTGAAAAGTTTGTTGAAAGTCATATGACAGCAGACATAATTTCGCTTACTCTACTCCTTGCAAATCTTTACTCTTTTCATGTGGTCATTTTCCTTTTCTGTATATTTCAATTCTTGCCCTGATCATTGTACTCAATATTTTTTATTTATGAGAAGGCGGTATGTCATCTTCACAAGCCAGGCTCTGGGGTCATATTGTTTGGTTTGGAACTCTGGGTTCCAACTCCTATTAGTTGAGTGATCCTGAGTGATTTATTTAGCCGCAATGTGCGTGAGTTTCTTCATCTATAAAATGAGGATAAGACTCCTACCTTATAGGGTAGCTTTGAGGATTATATAAGCTAGTATCTATAATAAGTATAATAGTACCTGCCTTGCTCTAAGTGCTCAATATCTGTTAGCTATGATTATTAGTTTATGTATCTCTCTCTCTCTCATCTAGACTGTGAACGCCTCAAAGTCAGGAATCATATCTCATTCATCTTTACATCTCTTCCACCTAGAACAGTGTCTTGTAAATACTAGCAACTTGCAGCGTAGAATTACAAAAGTAAATTTATGCCAATGATTAGTTAGTATGTTGAGGGGTGGTGCAGAAGGGAAGGGAGAGGAAGAGTTATGTATATGACACCAACATATGATTGTCATGAGGCACTTTTTCCTGACAGTGGAAGAAAGAAAGAACCCGTCAGCCATGGTGGACTCCATCAATCCATAATTGCACTCTTCAGGCTGGGAAGCTACAATATATGCTGCAGAACCAATTTTCCCTTGCAAAAGGGACTGAACAGATAGTGAAACTCTCAAGCGCTGAGAAGGCATGCTAAGGTGTCAGGAGTTGCTCACCAGCAGCTGCCACTGATCCCCTGCCCCTGTTAGCTTGGAGCAGCCAATTCTGCTTCTTCATGCTGTGCCCAGACCTGCAATCGAAAATTGGCTTTTGCTATATTTAATGATAAAAAAAAATCCCACCAGAAGGGATCTGCTCCAGGGATTAAGGTCAATGGACACTATCATGTGCTCTGCTCTCTTGCTTGCTATTGTTCTGATCATTTTTGTTCTTCCATATTCCCTGATTTCTGACTACCGTCCAAAATTTCAAACTGCCTTTACCCTCAGTCCCTCCAAACTGCCCCATACTCTTAGTTCCTTCTGCCCTGTTGTCTGCTCTCTTGCTTTGTGGCTGACTCCCAGATATATTGACAGAAGATATTCATCTTTGTCTTGTTTCATGCTTGATGGAATTTCCTCATCCTAACCCTATGTCCAGTGCAGTAACACTGGTGACTGGCATAGCTGTAAGGAAACAACATTGTACCTCTTCTCAAATTATGGACCTGTTACACACAAAAAGTCTTATAAAAGAAGCTGAGTTAAATAGCAGATAACAGTTCCAGGCATGGGAATCAGAGTGAGCCAGACCTGATCCAGAGCCTCAACTCTATCATGCCCACATCTGTGCCCTTGGGCAAGTTACTTACCTGAATAAACCTCAGTTTCCTCATTTGGATAAAGAGGCACATAATCATTCTTACCATACAGAAATATTATTTTGATTATTTAACTAATGCATGAAGTCAATAATTAATACTGTTATTATTAAAAATATATTTCAAATTACTGGTTCAGAGGCGAATCATAGCTGAACATAAGACTCAAAACATTGTCATCATATTATCAAAGTATTTCATTTTAGACTTAGAAATACCTTAGATATCCAATCATTTTCTTTAAGACTTGAGGAAATTGTGAACCAGAGAGCAAGATTCAGAATTTTGTCACTAATAAATTAAAGTTTCCGTTCCCATATCTGAAATGCAGATTTTTGTCCTAGATTTAACAATTGCAATTTGAATGGCTTCATTCAATTAATTCACATCTCCATCCATCCATCCATCTATCCATCCATCCAACCATCCATCCACTCCTATGAAAAATATTTATTGTAGAGTACCTGCTGTGTTTAAATCTCCCTCCTGAGCCCTGGGAATTTGCAAAATAGTCATAGTCTGTATCTTCATGATACTTTACTTCTACTTCTTCTGTTGTTTTCTTATGTCACCCTAAGTTTCTGCTTCTGTTATTAGAAAATGAATTAATGTACTTCTGCATATAAAAAGTAGTGCTTTTAGAAAGATGTAAGCAGCAGCAGATTTGGGGGAAAGAAAGTTCTCATTGGTAGAAGTGGGTCTCATAAACTGTTTTTATCAAAATGTCACTTAGAAGCCTTTAGGTAAACACATTCTTCATATAAACCTAGGGAACAGACATTTTTTATGTTTATCCTCTCCTGCCTTTGGATTTCTCAATCTCCCCTTAGTACAGTTAAGTGTGCACTAGAACCTCGAGCACATGTACACACCTAAAAAAAGTATGTATTTTATAATTTCAAATGATGCAAGAGCAGTTGCTGTGTTTTATATTGTTTTTGAATCTTAGAACTTGATAGATACTCAATAAATGTATTGTTAATAACAATAAAATGTTAAAGAATAATTAGAAACTTCTGCAAAATTGTTAATTAGTGATATTGTTAACAGCTGAAACTCATTTCTTTTTGCATATTACCTTTGCTTTTGTCTAGGCTAAGTGTGCTTTTGGATTAGTTAGCAGGTAGAGAAAGTACTGCCTGGTTGGCAGCTGATAGTAATCAATGGAATTAAAGGGAAGTTGTCCTCCTCATCATTTATATTTCAAAGTGCCCCATTTATGGCAATGCTAAACTCACCCAGAGAGCTCTTTGACATATTAAAATATTCAAGGTAAAATGAGTGAGAAGCTACATGGAAATTTTAGCTATGTGGAAGCCATTAAGGAGAGAATTGCTGTAATGTAGGAAAGAGTGAAGCAGCCTGAATATCTCCTGACCAGCCCAGCTTGATATGGTGCTGGGTGAACAGTGCTGCCATAATGGAGACTCTGGTCTAGCATATAACATAAATACATGTGCAGTAGAATATGCCTAACGTTGACACAGCACTTCATCCAATCCTCCCCATGATGCTGGGAAATCAAACATATTTCCCCCTTAGTATGAAGGAGTAAACTAAGCCTTGGAAAAGTTGAATACAATTGCTTCACATTACTTGATCAATAGCCAGTAGTGTTTAAGTGAAGCCTTATTTTAAATCATGATTTTTGACCAAAAGTCCAGTTCTATTCTTATCAAATCACAAGTGCATCAGTACATGTGACGGATTCCTTCTCAGCATGGGATATGTTGCCTCCCAAAAATGGGTTTATAATTTAAACAGAAAGGGAAACCTAACACATAAAAAATGAGAGAATAAAAAGTGGTTGTTATAAAAGTAGTATTATCTAGAGTGGTAAGATAACTCTTTATGGAAGAGAAAGATCTTGAGATGAGCCTTCAGGCATAGAGAAAATTTAAACTAAATAAAGGACAAAGGGAACGACACTCACCCTGAAGGTTCGTCAAGAGCAAATGTGTATGTACCTAGGGCTGCCATTCAGAAAATCTGTAAGTTATCTATTAGATGGACTATGAAACCATCACCCCACCCCCCAAAAAAAGCAAGAAAATTTGCTTTTGTCTTTAGCTTTAAGAACTTCCAGGACCATTATTTTGATATTTTTGGACACAAGGTCTTAAAGATTGTTTGCCTAACTGATTTTAGACTCAGTGATCCTAGCATAACAAAAGTTAGTTTATTAGACAAAGATCTGGAAGTTCTTAAATGCTTTCTCTAGGTTCTCTCATTTATCACTGGGTATAATTCATTTATCAATGCCACAAAAAAATAAACAAATAACCCATAGTTGCTTTTGGTTTCACAAAGAAGAATCGATTTGTATACCAGATGCTCCTCTTAAAACACAGCAAGTATTTAGGCACCAAGTTTTCTTCCTGTCTTCATACCTTCTCAAATTCATCTTTCCAGAAAACCCAACAAATATTTCAAGCCAAAAATGTTGGCATTATTCTTGACTTTTTTTTTCTTATACTCTACATCCAATACCTCAATGGGTCCTGTTGTCCCTACCTTCAAAATGTATGCAGGATAGGACTACTTCTTGTCACCACTGCTCCTCCCACCTTAGCCCATTTAATCTGTATTAAATCTATCATTTCTTAACCACTTTCCTGCTCTATTTCTAGAGCTCTATTTTCTTTCCTCTCTATTCTATCCTCAACAAAGGAGCCAAAGTCATGTTGTCTAAAGGGAAATTAGCTCATTTCACTCATAAACTAAAAACCCATTAATTGCTTCCTATTTCATTCAGGGTGAATGTCTAATTACTTACAATGACCAATGGATTTCTACATGACCTGCCCCTCATTACCACTGCAACTTCATTTCTTACCACTTGCTCACTCCATTCCTGTATTTTCAATACAACTTTGTACCTGCTATAAAGTTATCTAGGTATCTTCCACCTGGAGTTCTCTTCCCCTAAAATCCATATGGCTCACTCTCTCACTTTGTTTGGGTCTTTATTAAAATATCTTCTCAGTGAGACCTTCCTAATAGTGCTATCTGAATGTGTAATCCACCATATACACTTTCTATCTTCTTCCTTATGCTTTTTTTCCCCTTCTTTTCACATACCACTATCTAATACACTATCTATTTTGTTTATTACTTATTATTCTGACCCCATAAAGAGAATAGAAATCACTATGAGAGTAGAATGTCTTTATTCATTGTTTTCTTCTTTTAAATCTAGTACCTAGATCTGTACCTGGAACATAGAAGCCACTATAAGTATTTGTCCAAAAGTGAGTCAATAACTTTTTAAGAGAATATGGTAGATTAATCAGGCTTATATCCCACTCAGTTAACCTCATGGTTTCACTCTATGGCAGCTTATGTTTTCGAAAGATGATAGCAACAATATCTCTTGAATCACTTGTTCTTTTATAAATTATTTTGTGACGTCTCCATCAAGACGTAGAGTGGGCTCATAACTATTTCAGCTAATAGGGTCAAGATAAAACCAATGACCAGACAATATAACCCTTTGTTATATACCTCAGAAAGATTAACAATGACACTTCATAAACCCTTTCACACAGATGAAAGTCTTTCTAAGTACTCAAAGCCATGCCTCCCAAAACTTTTCCATTAAATATTAGGCCTCCTAAGACTCTTGAGGGTGTTGTTCCATAGCAATCTGACAGGGGACCCTTTTAGTTTACAGATCCTCAGAATTAGAGAAAACCAGAGAAACTTTAGGAGCATAACTCAATAAATCACATGCAAGGCACGTCATCCACACCTGCACCTGATTTAAATAATGAGCTGTTGGTCTTTAAGCTGATGTCATAATAGAGGTTTTGAGGGGAGGAGTGAGTGTATTTTCCATACAGGAGGAATGTAAATTGGTGAGGCTAAAATGTGGATTACAGCAGATTGTATTTTCTTAAGATGATGGCAACAATATATCCTGCCCTGCATAATTTTCTACAACATGGTTTTGGCATTCTGTTGAAATGAGGCTGGTTCTTCTTTTCAATCTAGGTGGACTTGTATTGCCTTGATTAATTATGTTTGATGGAACTGATGCTGTTTGACTTCTAAAAATATGTTATAAAAGGCAATCCAGCTTCTGTCTTGGAGTCCTGGGCTTGGAACCCTAAACTACCATATAAGAAGTCTGAGTGCCTTGTGGCCACTATACTATGTGGGAGCCAAACTACATGGAGAGGTCACACGGAGTCTATCCATTCAGCATTACTCATCTTTGAATCTCCACAGCTCAGGTCCCAGACATGTGAATAAATGAGCCTTCAGATAATTCTAGCCTCCAGCCACCAAGCTACTCCTAACCTTTAAGTCTTCCTGAAAACAGTAAAGGACAGCCACTGCATCCTTGTCTAAATTCCTGATCCCCAGAATCTGTGAGACACATAAATTGTTTTTAGTCATTATGTTTTGGAATAGGTTATTATTCATAATAGCAACTGGAACTCATCTCCTTGTAACATATTTTGCAGCTCCTTACAAAAATAAGTGGAGTCCATCTTCCATACCTTAAATGTAGGCCAAGAATGAGACAGAAGTGAAGGTGTGCCTGTTCTTAGCCTAGGCCTGAAGAGGCCTTGTGTAATTCTGCTGTTGCCTCCTCCTTGAGCTTAGGCTAGGCTGATGGAGAATTATTGACCTAGACATGCTTACAGCTAATTAATCATGTGAAAGGGATCTGCCTGGATTACCAGAGATGCCTTCTTAAACTACAGCTGACCACAGGTGTATGACTGAGTGAGCCCCTCTAAGACCACCCCACCAAAAAAAATGCTCAGACTCATGAAAAATAATAAATGCTTATTGTTTTAAACCACTGAGATTTTCTTGGAGGAAGGGGACTGGATGAGGAGGATTATTACATAAAAATAGCTAAATGATACAAGGGGAGAAAGATCTTCCAGGTAATGGAATTCATGCATATTTTGAGTGAAAAAAGCTATGGTTGGAATGTTGGATATAAGAATCACTGTTTATTTGTGCTCAACCAGTTGTTTACAATTTTCTCATATCTATGCTTCTAAGCTCATGGTATATAGGCCAAGAGGACATGCAGGAGAAACCATTTTCTCTGTCATTCATGAATGGAATAAAATAATCATTCTCCCTCTCTCTCTACCATTCTAATTCTTACATCAAATCCAACAAACATACTTTGATTTTATAACAGCTCACTTCCTCTGTAGAATTAGACTTAACACACATAATGACATAAAGTGCTTCAAGAACAGCATTACCCTACTCCTAAGCCTAGATAGAGAAAAAATAAAAAAGAATAACTTTTAAAGTGTAGCTCAGAATTCAAATTTTATCAAAGCCAAATTGGAATATGGAAAAGATTTTTTAAAATTCTAAATTTAGGTGCAATGGTTTTCATGTGTGTTTGGAATCTGGCAACCCAGCTTTTCTCTTCCTACTTTAGAAAGGTTGCATATAAGAGGGAGAGGGAAGTTTTGTATAGTTGTAGATTAATCCTTTATGGTACCCCTCAAATAATTATCAAATAAGAATACGTGAATGTTTCTATCAGTCAAATATCAGTACAAAAATAAAATGTATCCTTTTTAAGAGCATCTATTTAATATTAAGATGCATTGTTTTCCTTGAAATGTTAAACCTGAAATTTTATATATAGAAATAATCAGTAATT